CTCCTCTGTCTTTTGAGTGATTATCCCAGTGGAAGTAAAATTGAAGCCTTGAAACTGATTGAGAAATGTCTGTTCATAAAAGTGCTTGATTTCTTTCTTCTGGATTAATCTTTGAATATATCTTGACACATCTGAACTTTTTACTTAAAGGAATGAATATTGCTTCCTTCCATTTATTTATATTTTAGATGGCAAATACATTAACTTTCCATGATCATTGAGTAGCTGTCATCCATCATCTGCAAAATGAGTGATACCCTCTCAATATAAATACAAAAGTTGCATTCCTCTTAGGAACATCTTGATATCTCCTTTACAGTATTTCCTCCCTCAGATGTTTATAAGTGAAGTCAGGTCCCAAGGCATAGAGAGATTTTGCTTTTAAAGATGTCCAAATTGTTTGAAAATCTCTCTTGCCTTCGGAGACCTGAGTGAGACAATTAAATATTTGTGGCTTTGAAGAAATAAAAGGAAAAACCCAGAGTTCTTTTCCCTAGCTGCCTCACTCAGAACAGGGGCTTGAGAACAAATTGAGTATTGCATGATTCAAAAAGAAATTAGATTCTGATGTGGAAGTAGATGTCTGAGTGAAGGACTCTGCCATTCAGTTCCCAGAATATGTTATGAACATGCCACAGGGGACCTGAAACAGTCTCTTCCAATCTGATGTATGCCGTGTACCATGAAATTATCTGTCTTCTATTGAATGTAAAACCTAGTGTAGATAAGTACTGTGAAACACCGTAAGAGGTTGCCTAGAGAGGTTGTGGATGCCCTATCCCTGGAGGTATTCAAATTCAGGTAGGACAGGGCTTTGAGCACCTGGTATAGTGGAATGTGACCCTATCCATGACAGGATGGTTGAAGCTAGATGGCTTTTAAGATCCAACCCAAATCATTCTGTGATTCCATGAAAATCTAGGGGTTAAAAAGTCATGATCTTTCTTTGGGTAGAAGTTTATGTGTGTACTGTAATAAAATGTGGCATCATTCTTTGGGTTAGAAAGCCTGTCCTGTTCTTATGAGCCTCCTGATTCATTTCCTGAGCTTTCTCAGCACTGCTCCATTTCTAGAAAAGTTGTCCTGCAAAAAATGACAAGGCAGAATGGAATTTATGGAGATGAACATTTATATCTTTACCTGATAATTTTGACTGTTAGGGCACATGAAAAAAGCCAAATGCAAGTGTTTGCCTTTTGGAAACCCTTTTTCCCAGTGTCAGATAACCCTACTGTTAAACCCTGTCTCTCCAGTAGGCACAGACAAGAGGTTATTTGCCATTGTTTGGCAAAATAGTTTGGCCTGTGCATGAAACATGAAATAATGGAAGTATCTAGAACACATACATAGTGACACTCAGCCACTCTGTTCTTTCTGTGTAAAGATGGTTGGTAACAAGACCTTGTGATAACTTGTGCTCTTACCAATTTGTTCAGATTAGCTTTTCCTTCTCCTATAGTTGTCATCATTCAGTTACAGACCTGCTTCATCACCCAGAGCTCTCAGCAGACCATGGAATATTTTACTATGTTCAGAGGCCAGTACAAGATTGATGGTTTATTCTGTGATGCTTACTGAAACAAGTTCTCTTTTGATATTCTATGGATCCAAAAACTTTGTTTAAAAATTCTGTCTGTACTCTGAATGTTGCTTTTGTCTTTTGCAGAAGCCTAGCTCTGTAGATTTATTATTTTCTGTTGAGTGGCATGGCTTTATTGTCCACTGAATTCTACCTGCAGTTCCTATTGTAATGCAGTTATGTGGTGATGAATAACTGATCGGTATAAAACATATAGGCAAAACCATCTGTATCTTCTCAGCAATGTATTTTAATAGAAAGACTGGCAGGGAGAAGGATTAGGGTATAGCAACAGTATACAGGAAACTGTCATGCTTTTCCTGTATATGTCTGTCTCACTGTATCCTTATGTGGATTAAATTGAAGTCTTTAGTGTTTCAGGTGCTAGGAGTAGCCTTAGACTATATAAATGCCACTTCTCAGTGTTTCTTCTCAAAGACACATGTTCTCAGAGGGCTGCTGGTTAAACTTGTAAATTCTTATCAGGATACAGTTCTTCAGTTCTTTTCTCTCCTTTTTGTAAAGAATGGGCAGAATGTCCATCCTTCATTTTGTTTTTCAAGTACTTTCTGAAGCCATAACTTACAGATATACTGTTCTTTTTGTTACTGAGAGGCAAGGCCAGAGTGCTTGACGTGGGGGTAGTGCCATGCTAGTGAACTGTATGGGCCTGTCCCTTCCTTGTCTTGCCACGGGCATGACCTGGAAAAAAATGGTGTCTGTCCCCATCACTTTTCAACCATATTAGTGCCCAATGGACTGCTTGTGTTTGTCATCAGGTTATTTCTAGCCCAAAGGAGAAGGCTAAGCAGGAGGATCTGAAGCAATTCTAGAATACCCCTTTCAGTCACAGCCACAACTAGGCTACCTGCAGCCATCCATAAAGAAGCATCCTCTTATGGCTGATACCTGTGTCATTGCAAAGGATTTCTTCCTCTCACTGGAGAACTGCAGCACATACCCTGTGCTGCAATGATGTGTCTGATGTAAGGGCTGCCTGTAGTTGCCTCGTTACCACCTCTGATCCTGGATTAGATGTTGGCGTATTTAACCACTTCAGTAAGACAGTGGTTTAGAGGTAATTCATCTGCAATATTTGTCTTCTAAGGATTACATAAAAGCCACTTTAATAAGATGGATACTGTTGTTTTTGTATAATAACAACTAAGTGTGCCCCTAAGAACATCAACAGCTAAGTGTGCCCTAACTAAGAACATCGACCCTCTCACTTTTTTGCTAGCTGCTCACTTAGGAGTGGATGAATGAGTTGCAAGGAAGCAATGTAAATCCCTACTATCACGTTACTGTCCTTACATCCAAGTATATTGTCCTATATCCAAGTTCTGTTGCACTTATGGAGACTACAACTATTGTGCGCATTTACCATTAAAAAAAGTGATTTTTCAACAGTCTGGTGATTTCTTTTTATGAAATGTACTTCATTTACTTGTACTTCATACTTGTACTTCAGTATGTTGGTTTCATTCTGTCAGATACCACTATTGCTATGGTGTAAAGTTTTTATTTCTTAAAATGCCTGTGATTTGGAATCCTGAAATGGTTTCACTGGTGTTTATCAGGGTTCAGTATAGGCTGGATTTGCTTTGCTTTTACTGGGCATCAAAGCAGGTTTTCTCTGTGGAACTCACAGCAACTGGAGTGACTAGTAGGATTTTTCTTCAGCGTGAAATCTCTTGAGAAGGGCAAAACTTTGGATCTCAGGAAAAATCAAAAGTTAAGGGGCAGTGTATTCACTCAAGATCCCAAGTTCACTTTGCATGTCTACATACAAAGTACGTATGTCTAAGTTCACTTTGATTGTCTGGAAAGTTCATATTACAGCAGTACAAAAAATAGAATTTAATCACTTTGCATGAAGAGACAGGGAAGTTTTCTTTAAAGCAAGATGGCAATTAAGAGATACAAACTTTATGAATGTACCAGGCCTGACAGTACTCTGCTATTACATCTAATGGGTTTAAGTAACCTTAGTCATCTCACTGCTTCCTCAATTATTCTTTTCTTTTTTCAAATTTACAGTAATTACAGCTCGAGTATGAGCTGCTTGCATTATTCTGCTCAGCATTTAATATTATAAAATAAGCTGAAATGCTTTTTTATTGATACAAACATTGCGTTATAGACTTTCACAAACAGATTTATGGACAGTTTGTTTGTTTATACTTAAAAGCGAAGACCAACCTGTAGCATTAGGAGAGGGGCAGACAGTGCACTAGATGTTATTTTAAGATGTAAGAGCTTTAGTTTCACTTATCAATAAGGATTCTCATTTTCCAGCATAGCTAATGTATGATGCTTGCAATAGTAAGTTTTGATGATAGGTTGTGTTGTATAACAAGTATATCACGTATCTTACGCAGCTACACTTCTGCTTTTTCTTTCTACTAGCTGCTCAACCTATTGCAAAACAGGAAAATGTGGATAAAAAGCTGTAGAGTCTTAAAATTTCATCTTCAGGTTGAGTCAATACTACCCACTCTGTACCATAGTCTGAAACTGAGGCAGTTAATTTTTGAGACAAGTCCACTTTTTTACTGAGTGTGATATTCTAGGAGTTTGATAGGCAAAATGCAATTCATTCTTCAGAAACACAGATGTTTTTGCTAACTGTAGTTGTCCTTTGGTGGTGATAAATTTCTGCAGAACAGCATTTCAGGAATGTCGTTTCTGAGTTGAAAGGGAAGTTCCTCATGATGAAGTTTATTGTATTCATTCCAATGGCATCATTTCATATTCTGCAGGAAGTTCTGGGCTTTTAAGGAGAATACAAAGTTTTCCACTTAAATTTTTTTGCAGGAACTAACATTTCTTTAAACATTTCCCAAATGAACATTTTCCAAACATTTCTTTATAATTAAAATTCCTCTATAATTAAATATATATATCTTATTTCTTTATAATTAAATAGTAATATTAGAAAAAGTGTTTAAAATAGAACTGCACTTGAAACCTTAGTGCAGTCTTTCAACTCAGCTGCAGCCCTTCATTCTAAGTTTGTAGAAGGGAGCACTTGTGAGAACCTTATGTGCTCAGTGGTGTTGGCTTCAGAGCAGCCACTGTGGTAAAAAGCATTTCTGTGGTAAGCATCTGAGCTCTCCAGATGCCCCTTAGGAAAGCTGATGGAAAACGAGCCATAATTCTGTCTATATTTTGCTAGAAATTCCTCCAAACCAGTCATGTTAATGTGTCTGTGAACTGGCATTTTTCCACTGCAGCCTATTGATCAGGAGCATTCTTTGGAAGTTCTTAATACCTGGTTCACATTCTGGCCTTTCCATAGCTGTGCTTGTGGTCACTGCCATTGTGCAAGAAAGAGCCTCCAGCAATTGCCAGGAAGGCTTTGCCCTCAGGCGCTGAAAGGTTTTGTTTGAGGAATTGACATCTATATTTGATCTTGCAGGAATTCTTCAATGGGTGAAGCTGATAGATAACTTTGAGGCTGAGTACGAGTATGTCACCAATGAAGGAACAGTGTTCACTTTCAAGACAAACCGCCATTCTCCAAATTATCGGTTAATCAACATTGACTTCAGTGATCCAGAGGAATCCAAATGGAAAGTTCTCGTCCCTGAACATGAAAAAGATGTTCTAGGTAAGAGTTCATGTCAAGTTAAAGACATCAGGTTCTGCTTTTTCCAAATTAATTCAGTAATTAGTCTGTTGAATGATCTTTTACAGACCTTCTTGCTTTTTCCATGTGTTTAAACTTTGTTTAGGATTTGCAGTTAAAAGACTTGCTGAGATAGAAACAATTCAGAATATCGTTCTGTCATCAACGTCTTATGTGGCCCTAGTGAAGTTGCTTCATCTGTCCTTGTTTTAAATCTGTGTTGGTAGGAAATGAGGGAAACATATTTTTCTGTTTCATGTCAGTGAAATAAATGTTTACTAGACAGGGATTACAACAAGAGGGACTTTGTAAGGAGAAAGAGGTAAAGAGCAAACCTGGCTGTACTGCAGCATGCTTTGAATAGAATTGGTCGGAATTTGAGACAGGATTTCTTTTGTTCCTGGAGTAAGGGGAGTAAACAATACTTGAAAAAAAAAGCCTTAGGAAAGTGTAAGAACATGGATAAGTCTTTAGTTTTGACATAATTAAAATAAAGGTATATTGTTTTAATCCCATCATTTTGCAGAAAGTTCTATGGAAGCTTAGAATTAGTTTCAGATAATACAGAAGAACCTCCTCTGAGCTGTTTTTTGACAGATGCCTTGTGTACATTTATGTAGTTTGCTCTCCATACAGTACAAGGTACAATTACGATTTATCTAAGATAATTAGTTATTCAAAAATACTCTGACATTTTTATTAATCAATTTTTATATGAATTTCTTCATGTTTGCTACTTTTCCAGTGAAGAGCTGCTTAGTAGAATGAGTCAAATTCTCTTTGTGTATATTATTTGATACGTGCATATACAGTAACTTCTGTCCTCACTGAGACAAACCTATTGTACTATTTCAAAATCATCATTTTGTCACTTAAAAAAAATCTTTATTTCTGTCTGCAGTTCACAGTGTGTCCTGTGTGATTTCTGCCACAGCCTAGATGTCCCCAGTGTGGCATAAATGTTGATTCTGAATATATCCAGAATTGTAGTCATGTTGGAAGTGACTGGGGTCTAGAATATTTAGAGAATTTTAGTGAATGGAAATGTAGCAAATTAGAGCTTGGTGAAGCACAAATATTTTCTTAAGATTGGGTACTAGTTGAATCAGAAGCAACCTGCATCTTAAATTAAATATGTTTCAAGTCCTAAGCAGAAAATTAATAACAGATGTAAGTGCAGAAATGCTTCCAAGCCTTAATTTTGGCCGTGTGCAAATTCACTGATGGTGTGTTAAGCTATACTTAAATTATGAGGATCAGCAGTTTATAAAGTGGGACCAAATCGGACTGGGATGTGGTGACTGTATAAACAGAATGGAACAGAAATGTTTTACTGACATGAAATGCGGTTACCATGTGTGAATTTACCTGGAAAGTGGTCTAGGCAGCCAAAGGATCTTTGACCAGTGGCTCTATAAGCACTGATTATCTATTCTTTTCCAGTCAGATAAATACCAGATCTTCTCTTCCCTACACTGTGGTATTTAGCTCAAATCCATTTTGGTTTCATTCTAAAGGCAAAGTCGTGATGAGTTCATGTTCATGCACAAAGGAAAATTTAATGCATGCAACATTCATTTAATGGCTTATTCATGACAGCCTTGACAGTAACAAGAACTTAACAAGAACTGCACTAAAAAATTTGAAACCTCAGATGAATGGGTTTGCTGAGGACACTGGCCTTTAGACTGTAAACCCATTAAACACTTGAAAGCAAACATAATCTGTAATATACAACCATCAGGGTGACTTTCAGGAATATGTTGTGTGTCATTAATCTTTCATTGTAGTTGAATGTGAAGCTAGAACAGGTAATCATATGTCTACTTCTCTCTTTAGCTTTTTGGAGTAGTATGTAAAGAAATTGGGTTGAACTAATAAAGGAAAGAGTCTTCATAAGAGGATGAGATTTAAGTAGATCTTAATAAATCTATAGTAGATCTTACAGTAAAGTAAATTTAAATTCTTCAGTTGCTTCTTTGTTACAGACACTTGCAGATTAGTGTTGTATACTTTAGCACCAAGATATAGTGGTTTCATCACGCTCACAAAGTTGTAGTCCTGAATAAATAAAAAACCTCACTCCTTCACTTGATGTAGCCAGCAAGCAAGCCAATCTCCATGCCAGGATTTTTTAATCATTCCAAGCTTTGTTAAGGAAGACATAATTACAGCAATGACAGTTAATAATTCATTGTTGAAAACCTTGGAGTCAAGTGAATTTGATTCGGGTGATAAAGAAATGACAGTGTAATGAAGCTCCTTCTGCAAAAGCTAAGACAGCAGTGATTCAGAGGGTAAATGGGTATTGCTGCTTTTTACTTACGTGTGGGAGTGACTTTAACAAGATGTAATTTAGCTGTATTAGTATTTCTTCACAAGCATTATAGTTAGTGATACTCCAGGTCACAAATGTGTTTTATTGGGTTATATGGATCCTACTCTGATATGACCTGCCTGGAAGACATAGCCTGTTCATTTCTCTGTCTTAACTTAGATTCGATTTCATAAAAGCTGCACTTACAGAAATAGATTTATTTACAAATAATGAATTCAGGATTGAGAATTAAGAATCTCTACCAGTGTCTATCACTGGCATAAAGAGATGTTCCACAAAGTATCATTGTATTCTTAGAAAGATGCTGCAGCTAATATAGTCTAATCAAGAAGCAAACACACATGCTTACATGATGTGTGAATGTCATTTGGTTTCCTCAATATATTTCTAAGATAGACTTTTCTTTTGGATTTGACCCTTTCTTTTCCAAGAACTGTTTATAAATGAGATAATTTGGGAAATACAGGGAAAAATCAAGCATATTCCTGCAGTGAGGTTGTACATCCACTTCATTTTACAACTGTCAGCAGGGATTTTACACAGAGATGAGGTAAATTTAGAGCTCTACTCTGTGAGCTGAGGCGAAGAAATAAATGACAGCTGTTGTAAAAGGAAATTGAAGAGGGTGCCTCAGAGCATATTGTAGTGCAATGAGACTGATTTTCTTCTCTTTAGAGTTTGTTTATAAAGTGTTAGTTTTAGTTTTCAGGGAGTTGTGAATAAAACCACAGGAGATTGAATCTGACATTGAACTTGTGCTTTAAATGACCACGTAGCTGCAAGAAGCATGCTGAATTAAAAGGCAGCTACGAAACCATAACTGCTGACTGACCATAGCAGGCCTGCAGCCCTAGTTCTAAGGCACAGGATAAACCACCTGGGTTTAGAAGGTTAAATTATTCATTTTGAGAACTGTGACACCCCCCCACCACACCCAAAGTGCTCAGTACAGGTAGTAAGTGTCTGGCCCTTTCCTTGTGGCAGTGAAAAGCAGAATAGATTTCCAGAGTCAGGAGGTCTAAGGAGTAGGACATATTCCTGAATATGTTGTAGATGGGGAGAGGATCTTGAGCAGTTCCTTGAATCTCAGTTGGCCATTTGACAAGCAGAGGCAAAGCTAGCAGTGCTCCCTGTACTTTGTACACATCTGCACACCTAAACTCAGTGCATGTAAAATCATTCCCTTCCCTCATCTACAATTCCCTAGTGGAAAATAGTATTTTTCTTTATACCTTTAACCTGCTAACTAATTCATAAATTCTGAGGAGATGAGGAAGTGAGTTACTGCAGCTGAAATTTGTGTTTAGGCACTGTAGGGAAGCCAGGAGGAAAAAGTCTGGAAGGAGCACCAAATTCTTGAATTGTTGAAATTGGTTGAAGCTTTCCCATAATCTTAACATGGCAGGCTGCCACTGAGGATGGGGTCTCAGTAAGAAGATGCATGCTTTATATTGTGAGGGCTTGTCATCATTTACTTTGATGTTTCAGAATTATTCATGTTTTATTCTGTAAATTGCTCCTGCTTTACCTGCAAGTCTACTCGTAAGTAGCCTTGAGTGATGGTTACAGGTCATTCTAGTTGAGATCAGCATTGGTTCCTGTTAATCTGCAGAGACACTGAAGTTTATGGTCACTGTCTGTGATGACCAAAGAAACCACCATGACCTTCCAGGTCTGTCTTGCAGCTACAGCTTTGGCCGTCCATTGAAATACATTAATTCATCTCACTCAACAATACATGCCTTGAGTGGACCCATAAGCACAGCATACATCAGCTCAGCAATTCCTGCTGAAACTCTATGGCTGCTTGGCTCTTCTAGCACGGTGTGTTCTCCATCAGCATTTCGGCCTGCATCTGTCAAAGCATGTTTGGACATTCAGACAACTTAACATGCTGTAGTTACTGCTGCAGAAAGGAAAGGTCAAAACTCTTAAGTCATTAAGGTTCGTGGCACAGATGCTTCGTGTGATGATTCAACCCTTTTTTTTCTTGAAACTATTTCAAAAGTTGTTCACAGCAACATTGCAGGTGCCAGTTAATGGCTTTGTGACTAATGACAGCTGTCAAAATACAAAATAAGAGTTTTTGGAAAGTAGCAGTATATGAATTTCTGAAAGGTTGAACTAGAAGTTCCAGACACAGTTGAGCTCAGTTTTCTAGGCCTTGTTACGAAGTGTATCTCCTCTAGCCCAGATTTAGCTATTGAAGAATTGTGTGTAACCTACTGTAGTCACCAGAGTGGTCACTGTACTCTTCAGAGAGAGCTGGCCGGTACCAAGGATAATTCTTCGCACCTGCTTTCAGTACTTAGGACTGTCTACAAGTGTGTTCATCTCTCTGATGCCTGAAGCAAGATGCTCAGAAGAAGGTTGGAGAAGTCAACCACTTAGTGTTTATTGTGTAGTAGTATAAATCCTTGCCTGATGGATGTTGGAAGTAGGTGGGTAGATAAATTAGATGTAATCAGGAGAGTAACTGCTCTGTTCCTTGGTATTCACTGAAAATAAATTGACCTATACACTGGAGAGGTTTCAGATAGTTAGCTTTTTAAAAAACACTGCTTGTGTGAGCAAATTGCTCGGCAAGCAATTCACAGTATCCCAGAACGGGATATATAACCAAAATAAATGGTTCACTTGCACTCTAAAGGTGCTTATTTCTTCTCATTTGTCTATGAAGGATGCCTGCAGCAGTGGTGTCAGGCTTAGACAGGAGATTTGAAATCACTGTCTTAAAAGTTTTCCTTTTCCTTAAAAGGAAATACAGAGGCATGCAGGATGCATCCTGCAATGCACGAGCAAAACCAAAAGGTTAGTTGCTTATGCAACACGCCAACAGTATCTGTGGTTCTCAGTGCTGAGCATGGGAATAACAGAGACCCAACTTAAAGCTTGCAGTCAAAAAATAGCTCTTGTTAATAATTCATCATTGTTTTAGCTTGCTGTGTATATAAGGGTTGGTTCTTAGTGTTTTCTTTCTCTTCTGTCTTTCAAGTCTGCTTCAATGTTTTGCTCTATTTTGATTTTTGCATTTTTTTGTAGCTGCCATTACTGTAAGTTTTGGAGGCAGTTAGCAATGCACCAAAACCAGTTGTAATACAGGTACTGTACACAGAGCTGTGTTCCTAAATCTCATGGAATGTTTTAAAAGCATCTTGCATTGTCTTCTCATCTGTTATCTTCATCTGAGAGCATCTAATTTGTAAACCAGAGAGGTGATGGAGAGTTGATATTGCTGCTTTCTAGGCAAGTTCTGTAGTAGAAGAAATCCTCATATAAGCCAGCAGCCTTACTCCTGAGCAACTGAATCTTTTTAATAAGAAGAGTAATACCTCTTCATAAATATATGTCAAAGTAATAATATACATCAGCTCTTAATGAAAAAAACCATTTAACTGAACTGTTTAATCAAATAATTAGTGAGGAATTAAAGCAGCACCACAATGTCATTTTAAAATAAAAATACTTTTTTTACGTTTTTTTCTTTCATTTTTTTTTTTTTGTTGAGGCAAAACTATATATTATATACATTTAAAGTTTGTCTGCGAGTGTTTATAATCCATTTTGTGAATTTTTTCAAGAAATTTTGAGAGTAAAACTGGACATTTTAATTATAAATGTTGCTGAGAATGCCAGTGGAATTAATGGGATCTCATATTGCAGAGGCAATAATTCTGCATGCAAAAGAGGTCTGATACTGTTGGGATGCTAACTTTTTAATTCACATTTTGTGTTAATAAACTGTGTAAAAATGTTGGAAAATTTGTGCAGCAACAATGTAAAAAATATTTTTAATTACTACATATTCTCATTGTGTATACAGCCAAGAATGATTCTGTATTTCAAAATATGTAATTGAATAGAACTATTGACTTACGTTTATTATGTTCTCCAGCCTCACTTAAGAAATTTTAGCCACCCTAGAACTAAAATTACACATCAATTACTAATTTATAAACAGTGTTATGCTGTACCTTACTATTTCAGGCCATGGCTGAAATTTCAGTTAGTGTTCTCTGGGGCGTTGGTTAGAAAATTCCCAAATTTAGCCTAGCTCATGAGGAAATTGGAAAGTTTGAGGGTAAAAAAATATGAATGGTAGTGTTTGGGAAAAGGGAAGTAGTAAGAGCTTTCTTTAGGTGTCTATGAAACATGACTTCATATGTCTAGAAAGACAAGTATTACATTTCACTGGTCCTTTGGAAACAAGCTAAAGGATTTGAAGGTCTTTGAGCTCTAGGGGTCATGACAGACCTGAACTCTCTATGAAAGCATATAGGATACTTTCAGAATAGCTACTTTTCACCTTCAATTACTAAACTAAAACTCAGAACTTTTATTCTGCAACCTGAATATGTAAAAGTGTGTTTATAAGTCTATTTTCTTTACAAATCGGTGAATTCAAATTATTTGGTTTTATTGGACTTTGAGGAAACTGGAAAGAGCTGTTTAGGTGTGAATAACATAAAGCAGTGTAAAACTGAAATCCTGTCAATTTTTGTATGCTTATGTTCTGATATTTTTTCCTCCAATGTTGTCACAATAAATTCTCCATCTCACAATGCTACTTCAGCATTACAGTGTACCCCTGTCAGTTCTACATCAGATTTCTCGCACATTTGGTTCCATCTCCTCGTTCTTTGCTTCCAACAGATAAAAAAAAGGCCATTGTCCCACACTGGTATTTTGCCCATGATTTAGATTTCCAGTCTGAGTTGTCAGAGAAGAGGTTGTGTATATGTAGTTGGAAGAGAATAAGAATCACCTCCTTACCTAGTCTTACAAGCGATTAAAAATTTTTTGTCCCACAATACCTCTTTCAGGATACTTTCTTTAATTTTTATCATTGTTTATATTTTGTCTTGCTTGTATTCAATTTGTGAATTAATGAGGATTTAAAATACTTTTGTTGCAAAGTTATTTCTTAAACGACAGAAATACTGAGCAAGATTAAGACGTTTTAATCTCTCTTCTGTCTGTATGAGTAAATAAATAGACTTGTCACTAGAGATCTAAAGCCAGTGGCACAGGAGACAGGAGAGTCTGTTACATGATATATAGTGGGCGAACTGGAGCTCCAAAGAGTTTCTACACTTTACAGCCTATAGAGATGGAGATTGAAGTGAAATAAGTCAGTTGAACCACAGAGATGCTTAGAAATTGCCAGCCCAGATATTTTAATTTGTTTAAATTTTCTAAAGTCCAATTGAAAAATTAGCATGCCATGAAATAAAGGTTCACATATGTCTAGTACTTATTCCAAGGAACAAACTCAAGATGGGAGAAGTTCTGTGGAGCAGAAGCTTTCATTCCTGCACAGCTGCACAGACAAGGTGGGACTAGAACTAGGGCTGCCATGAGGAACATAAAGGCAATGAACCTCTGCAGAGGGATTTGTTCCTGGATCCTTTTGCCTGGAATGAGTTCACTGTGCTGCATCCTACTTCTATTATCTTACAGTCTCAAGAGTGCTTTTTAGCAACATTAGCATCTTGAATAAGCATGTGGGGCTTTTTCTAATGACATGATGAGAACATCACCCCAGAATAGCCCCTCTCTTGCACCCAGTAGGGCTTGCTTACAAGAATAATCTCCCGGTCACTTCAGCAGTAGAACCAAGACAAATAGTAACATCTAGGTTCTATACCTCAATGTGCAATACTGGATGACATCTTTTTTCCTTATGAGTTTAGTTTGGGTATAAATCATAATGTTTTTTTTTATTTTCCTGACTTTCCATAAGTATTGCTGGCAAAGATAAATGTTTTGCTTGGGTTATGCATTGAAATATGTGATATTTAAGAGCAGTATTGATCTATAAATATCCCAAATGCATAAGCATATTGATTAAGCAATTCTTTATTCTTATGTCTGCATAAATTAACTTTAAGCAGCATGGTTAATGCATTTCCAGAGAATGTCAGACTTTATTTTGGGTTCATTTACAAAGATTTTAGAGTTAAAGGCAGTGTGTGTCAGAAATTTTGCTGCATGCATTTAGGTATGCTAAAGAATTTCAGGAGCAGAGTATGTCTGATTGTTTTCTTTCTTACATTTTTTAATTGTATTTTCCATGGCATTGTTTTTCATTTCCATGCTGTGCAGAATGGGTTGCTTGTGTGAGGTCCAATTTCCTGGTTTTGTGCTACCTGCATGATGTGAAGAATATCCTGCAGCTTCATGACCTAGCCACTGGTGCACATCTCAAGACTTTTCCCCTAGAAGTTGGTAGTATTGTGGGATATAGTGGCCAAAAGAAGGATACTGAAATATTCTACCAGTTTACTTCCTTTTTATCTCCAGGTAAGATATTTTTGTCTCATATTATTGTTCCTTTTCCTTAGAAGCGTCTTTCTAATTTTCTGTAGTTTAGTAGTTATTTGGTATATTTGTATAAAACTACTTCCACCCATGTTAGCAGTGATTGTGCACAAAAAATGTATCAGTCTTTGATCTATCAAGCCTAAATAATGTGACTACTAATATTTGAGATACCTGCATTAAAACTCAAGACTGACTTGTACTGGAGATAAAATTGTAGCATTTGCACAGTTCTTGCTTCATACAGCAAGACAGAGGGTGAAAATCTCAGTAAAATATAATTGTTAATGTGCTTAATGTAATTTTTAATTGCAATTTTAAAGAACATTAATAAAAGTCACAGAAATTGTTCTCTGGCAGTTTTATGATTCATTTATGCCTAGCCTTATTTGAGTATCCTTAGTGTCTGTCCTTACAGTACTTGGCCTTGTTGGATTTGGTGTGCTAATCTTCTTTGCAGTCCTGCAAAACTAGACCTGTCCAAAGCATTACATAATGCAGGTGTGGTAAAACAGTAAATATACTAGGATTTTGCATAGGAAGGGAGTTTCTACACAATTGTCAATCTAGTATACAGTAAGAAATTGTATTTATTGTTCACTCTTTTTTCTTCTTCTTCTTCTTCTTTCTTTATGGCCCAAACAATCAATACCTAATACAAGACAAGATTCAAATATGAAGGGGCAGATAGGATATTTGTCTGGATATTTCTGGGTTATTCAGGATATTTATCTTCTTCCAAGGTTTTGTATCATAAGGGGACAAAAAAAGGTTCTGATAGCATCTGACCTCTGTTTCTGCTTGTTTTAGTTATATGTATATACAGCACAGCAATATTACATTGCAAATACATTGTAAAATACTTCAGATAAATTTGCTGGTTTTGCTAGAAAGGATTATGTCAAATTATCAAAATTCGGTTTCAGTCTTAGCAGAGAAGTGTGATGAATTGCCTATTATCTTACTGTTCACATAAACAGAAATATGATATATTTTCAGTTCCTTCTTTAAACAACATTCAGATTGTTACAGCCATTGCAGGTGGAGATTAGCTTGAGGACACTCTCGCATTTATTTCTAACTTCATTCTTAGTTCACTTGCCCCCATTATGGGCCAGAAGTTGCCAGTTTTACAGGCCTGCACCATTTGTCTCAGCTGAGCCAGTAGAGTCTCTGCAGCTGCTAAAAATGTGTAGGGGAAAAGCTCAGATCTGTTTTAGCCTGTGGCTTTACAGCTGACCAGCAACAGCTGCTCTCACTGCCTGCTCGTTGCTTAGGCAGATTATTTTTCTCCTTTTCATTCATTTGCTTATCATCTACAAAGAATTCAGTATGGCATAGCCCTGTTAAATGGGGCAGAGTGACCTGGAATCTGGAAGAAAAGGGGAAGATAAGAAATGTAAGTAGACTGTATGGGGATAAGGAAAGAATAAGGAAAGCAGGCCAGAGAGGTAATTTTTGGGTTGGTTTATGGATCCTTTTTTAGTTTGTGTGCAGCCTCCGTTCACCTCATCAGTGGAATAATCATCCAAAAGGTATGGAGCTGATTCTTGTTTAACCTAGATATTCCTATTTTACTGTTGGAAATCAATACAATTTGCACCTGTATTAGGTTGGGCTATTGGTTTTTTTCTAATGAGAAACAAATTAACATACTCATGTTTGATACCTACAACAAAAGTAATAATGAACATATATATGAAATAATGAATAAAGCAGTTCTAAACCCATATATGTTGACACAGTAAAATAATTTTCATTATTCTCTCAAAAATACGGTTATCCCTGCTGTCCACTCTAGTCAGATGCTTAGGTGACCACTCCAGCATTTTGCATTTATTTAGCATCCACCAAAACAGTTAAAAATATTACAATTTTTTTTTAATGTTAACTGCTATGACACTAAAAATACAACAGAACAAGAGATGCAGTAGCAGAGGTTGAATTGCATGTTATTGTAACATTACGTTGATTTGCTCTGGAAATGCAGTCTGTGACTGTGCTTATTCTTCATCATGTGGTTTGCTAAGATGTGGCAATTCTGCCCGCTCTGTGTGCAGTGTTTGCCAGTACATTACCCAGCTTAGGCAGCTGCCTGTGTGTCAAACAGCTGCTCTGCTGTTGCTGCCTGGAGGGCTTTACACTGCGCTTCCACATCATTTTCTGGATCCTGATCTTTATGGGAAATGCTGCCTTAATGCTGGTTTGCGCCTATCAATCTGATTTGGCCTGCAAGTCATTTTGTGATAAGTAAAAAAAAAATCCCAGCAGACTAGGGTAGTCCTGCTTTTAGTCCACTGTTAATTCACTGTTATGGAGAAATATTTTACTTGTTGCTAGAAATGTTGGTTTACATCTGTATTTTTTTACCAATCTCTATCTTCCTGATTTTCCTGTCTATCAAACTAACTTCAAGAGGCAATTCTCTGGTATCAGATAAGTTTCCTCATTATTTCATGTTTTAGTCAGTATGAATTTTTACAGTTAAGACCTGTGTAGTAATACTGTTTCCTGAATATATCTATTATACACGCCATACAGCAGGATTTCAATCAAGTCATGTCCACTTTGGTTAACTTTATTACATAGAGCATCCCAGTAAAGTACTTACTTTTAGTATTTAGTATTTATTATACCTTTTAGTATTCTTTTCCCTAATATATGTTCCAAATGGACTGGCAAGGCTTGTTGTAAAGGAGAAAAACAATAATTAACACTTAAGTTAGTTTATGTGTCACATGTATCTGTAGTACAGTCATGAATATTAGGATTTTTTAGTGTGTTAACCAGGTGCAAATACATTGTATGATACGTACTCAAATGTTATTAGGATTGAATGACAGGAAATTTGTTTTGTAGTTTAAATGCAAAGTTAGTCTTGGCTAATTACACATCTGTGTAGTGTTTAGATAGCTGCATTCCCTGTGTTTCAGCCTCTGCTGCAATGTAGAAGCTTTATACTATTTACAGATATAAGTTTTCTCATGTGCATAATCCTTTGGAAACCATATATACATCTCAAGTGAAGTTGCCTTCAAACCTGCAGGATCAGGATGTAAAAGAAATTACTCAAGACCAGATTTTGTTCTGTTCCATAGGTAACCTGTGCTACTCTGCCACAATTTCAAGTAGATATTTATCTCTTTCTGTTATCTGGGACATTTGAATTTTAATTTTAAATATTTTATCATAATGAGAAAATTGTTGACCTGAGTGAAATTCTTGATATATTTATTCTCAGTCTGGTGGATCTCAAAGGGAGTGTTTTAAATTTGACTATACATTTCTTTCTACCAACATTATTGTTCTCAATAAGTCCTTTCTAATTTTATGTAAATGGTTTTTTCCCCCTATTTTGCTTAAGCTCCCTGGCTTTGTGTGAATGGTGAGAATTGTTCTTTCTGCACAGAAAGCCTTTGTACCCTCCCTAGACGAAATGCATATATGTAAGTGTTAAATTGTATAATAAATGAAAAAAATTAGTCCAGAACTACAGTTTTTCACCCTGCTGAGTTATCTTTACCATTCATGACTCCATCAGAGTGCCTAAACTGGCATCTTTGTAGTGATGGGTGTATACTAAGCTGACAAGCTTGTACTGTATTCTTATTTTAGGTATTATATATCACTGTGATCTGACCAAAGAGGAACTGGAGCCAACGGTTTTCCGAGAAGTGACTGTTAAAGGATTTGATCCTTCGGTTTACCAGACAATTCAGGTAATAAACTTGAACCCTGCTGTCTTGCTCTAACCACCTATGCAAGAGCTCAAGACAATTGGACTTAGTTATTGGTGAGGAGACTTGCTTTAGAACCATGCTTTGGTTTTGAACTGAAATACTATTGTAGATGCTCTAAAGGCTCAAACAAGTATCTCAGTGTAGTAGCATGAGGACTCTTTTGGAGGTGCACAGATAGTGAAGGTGTATAAGAATTGGTTAAATTTAAGGTTTATAAAGTTAAGAGAAATTACTTCAATGGGAAACAGTGTAAGCTGCAGATTACATGGAACAGGTTCAGAAAAATACAGGGTTCTTCACAGACAACTGCTTTGACCTCATAACAAGTATTGTGACTAAAAGGATTATACAAAATATACATTTTAAGTACTAAATGAGCTTTCCACTAAACACAGCTTTGATAAGACCCTGGTAAAATACTATGCCCAGGTCAGGACTTTTAAGATAGGTATGAAACTTCTAGAGAGAGTTCATGGAAATTTGTTGAAATCACAGAATCATTTAGGTTGAAAAAGACATTTTATGAACAAATCCAACCATAACCCTAATATTGCCATGTCCATCACTAAACATGTCACTAAGTGCCCATCTTCTTGTCTTTTTAAAAACATCCGGGGATAGTAACTCAACTGAAATTATTAGGGGTTTAGAAAAATAGTCATTATATTGTGATTCTTAGCATGTTTAAGACCTGCAATTTATAGAATAAATATTGGAGGGTTGATTCATTTTTTTATATGTAGGATTTTTTTATCTTCTCACTAAGAGTAAGAATGGAATAGAGGCTTTTTCTTTCTATGGACAAAGGCATAACAAAATCTAGTGCCAAGAGTGGAGCTTAAATAAGCTTAGCCTGCAAAGAGGTGAAATTATGTAGACAGTAAGCAACATGAAGCCATGTGACAGCATGGCTTGGAGTCTCTGAAAAGAGATTAGATACTTCTCTTAATATCTTACTTTGAATTTTGCCTCTGACACATGCACAAGGCACATTCTCTAAAAGCTTAAAGACAGTAGTATGTCTTTAGTAGTACGTGAGGTGGTTGTAAATAGCCCCTTCTGTTTGTCTGTGCATCTCCAGACAGAAATAAGAGTGTGGTAGAGAACAATTTGCTGAAAACGCTCTCGCAGAGAATGCGTTTTTTCTGCTTCGCTCAAATTCATTAAGAGACTTCCTCAGTATAACTTTAGGGCAGAGTAAGCTGGATAAGAAAGAGAAAACTTCATTCTCCTTAGGAAAGAACTTGGTACAATTGTAGTGCTGCCATCAGACCCAGAAGGATAATAATGAAACACAAATACCCATGTAATTAAAAAGGGTATAGAAGAGGTTTCTGTAAATTAGAAATAATATATTTTTCTGGTAAATCAAATTTTATAAAATAAATGTCTGGAAAAATAAAATCTTGTTTTACACTTAAATCAATTACATGCTAAATTAAGGTAAAGTAGAACAGTAATACAAATAATTTCAATGAGGAAACATGCTATTGCTTTGCCCTTGGAAACCTTCACTTTGTCAAACACTGGCAGAGATTCAGTGACAGAGCTAGGCTGTGATGTGGTGGAAGTCAGTATCACTGTCCCTGGTTTTCTCCTTTCTCAGCTCCTGCTCAGTTCCAGCTCTAGGGAAATGAGACCTGTGTAGTTATATTGTGATCAGTGCTTTTAAAGAGTACTCCTGGCTCACCAGTCATCCAGTTTTGCCTTATACCAACAAATGATCTCAGTGTGGCAACCTCTTGGAAATCATATTTTGTTACCTTTCATTCAGATCCATGGAGAAGTCTCAGCTGAGCTGTGAAAAAGGTTGTTTGTCAAGGCCAGGGCTGGGACTGCCTGCTCAAGTTTGTAGTAACTGAGCCTGTCAGTGCTGCACAGGTCAGATGGACTCCAGGCTTCATTTCCATTTGTGTGGTCTCATTTAGAGCCTTGAGGGTGCTTCTGATTGGAGGAGGGAAAGATGATGGAAGGGTATCAAAGCAGGGTATTAATGGCTGTCAACCAAATGAACACGTAGCCATTTCAAAACACAGGCAACATTGCAGGGAACTGTGGGGAAAAAATAAGAATGCAAGAAATACACTGAAAGTAGGCACACTCTGATTATTATAGGAGAATGAACAATGCTGAAGAATCTATTTAATAATCTTAATTTCCATCATAATTACTAAGTAGTAAAGGATAATGTTGCTGACTGTCCTAATCCGTCTCCTTAATGAAAGGCAGGTCTCCTGCCAAGGTTTTTTTATTCTCATATATCTGAAGAAATGCCTACTCACACTAGCAATATTCCCAGCTTTGCTGTGTAGCATATATGAAACTGTGATGAGCTGTCCTTTAACAGTCTTTGAATATAACTGGGTCAAGATTTGAACTGAAATGGAGGTGTCATATGTATATGAAACCTGAATTAATGGCAATTGCCTGTTTTTTGGTCTTTCAAATCCAAACTACAGTATTTGGTATATGCTGTAAAGTGCAAGGGTGGAATAGTGATAAGGTTTATTACATTGAGAAAATTTGTGGTAGAGCTGCTACTTTTTTTGTACTTAGGGTTAAGATCTTACACTTTGACAGCTCAAACTAAAAACAAATTAGCCAACTTGCACTGAAGGGGAAAGCTGTATCAACATACCTGACTTTTTCACCAGGGTGAGAACATGTTTCTAAATTATTGGCTCCATGTGACGCCCTGGAAGTACATAGTCTAATTTATTGTGCTGTAGCTTGTGTTTTTGCCCTTACCTTGAAAGACTCTGTGACCTTCATGAAAAAGTCAGACTGTTTAAAATGCTTGCCACACATCAAAAATTTATCCTGGCTGCTTTTGTTAAATGATACATTAAGTTGCATTAATTACTCTTCCTCTGCCAAGCACTTCTTGAAATTTGGTTTTGCTTCCCTGCATACTTCCATCTACCACAATAACAGATTTTTTTCAGGAAATAGCCTGGGGTGGGCTTTACAGAAGGAAAAAACACTTCCACAGGAACTTAAAAACAGTACTTGCCCTAAGATGTTTACTGTCTTAATAACTCAACTGTTGCTTTAAATAAAAAGCCTTTATTTTATCTCTGTAAAGTTGCCAACTATGTTCTTATATGCCTCTCCATGTTAGCACCTCACAGTGACACTTAATCATGGATAAACAGTCTTCTGGTGTGGCTCAAAGCTCACCTACTTTTAGGCTGATATGTAGGCTTTTAAGTGTTAAAATTGCAACAATAAAAATGCTGATTGGCTCCTTTTACCATTCTTTGAATACCCTCCAGTACTTAAAATACTTAGAGATGGGCCAAAAATAGATGTTGCTATTGATAGAGGCATTTTGGATTAGTTCTTGCAGGTGGTGAAATTCATAACATAACTTGGTTTTACAAGTTGTAATTTTCATGAGAATTTTATTCTTGTCTTGCTCAGTCTTTCACTCCCATCACCAAACCCTCGCAGTACTGATTTCAAGTTATGAGACATTGATAGGGAAAATTTGTCTACGGTCATTCTCATTCCAAGTAGAACTTCACACCATACAGTTTGGCACAGTGATTAATCTCTGCTTCAGGAAAATACAACACTGAGAGAAGATGAGTCAAGCTTGAGACTGATTGGCAGAGAAACTTGTGCACAGCACCTGCCCATGCTATTCCTGGATATTGCTGTTACGGGTGGTGTCATTCCATGAGCATTAGATTCCCTAATTAATATAAAAATAACAGAGGAAAGCAGTGTCCTCTGTAAACTGTAGTAAGCTCAACCTGCTAAGTAGTGCAAGAGCTGTCACTATAGTTATCTCTGTTTTTTTCACTGTGGTTATAGAGATGGTTTTAACATTGTTTTCTTCCCCTTACCCACACGTATATCATAGAATCAAAGGATGGTTTGAGTTGGAAGGAATTTCAAAGGCCAGCTAGTTCCAGCTTCACTAACATGAACAGAGACATCTTCCATTATACCAGGTTACTCAAAGTACCATTGAACCTGGCCTTGAACATTTCTAAGGATTGTGCATCCACATCTTCTCTGGGCAACTTGTTCCAGTACTTCATCACCCTCACAGTAAAGAATTTATTCATAATCTCTCATCTAGACCTTCCCTCTTGCTAAACCATTTAAACCCATTTGCTTTTGTTTTATTGCAATATGTTCTTGTAAAAAGTTCCTCTCCAGCTCTTTTATAGGCCCCTCTTAGGTACTGGAAGGCCACAATTAGGCTATCCCAGAGCCTTCTCCAGGCTGAACAGCTCCAACTTTCTCAGCCTGTCTTCCTAGAAGGGGTGCTTCAGCTCTCCGACCTTCGTGTGTCCCCTGTGGGCCTGCTGTGACGGGTCAGTGTCCTTCATATGTTGGGCACCCTAGAGCTGGATGCAATGTTCCAGGTGGGGCCTCACCAGAGGGTGACCTGCTGGCTGTGCTTCTTCGGATGCATCCCTGGACACAGTTGGCTTTCTGAGCTGTGAATGCACATTGCTGGGATACAGTGAGTGTCTGGTCATCCCCCAAGTATTTCTTCTCAGCCCATTTCCACCCAGCCTGTATTTGTGCTTGGGATTGTCTCGATCCAAGTGCAGGAGTTTGCACTTGGCCTTGTTGAACTTCATGAGGTTCACACAGTCCCACCTCTCAAGCCTGCCAAGGTCCCTCGAGTTGACATCCCTTCCCTCCAGCATGTCCACTGCACTGCACAGCTTGGTGTCAGCAAACTTGCTGAGGATACTCTCAATCCCACTGTCCATTTTGCTGACAAAGGTATTACACAGCACCAGCCCAAATGCCACCCCCATTGACCAGAACTTTGAGTGTGACTTTTTATATGAATAGATCATTGTAAGTTGGAGAAAAGTTCAGTAACTTTTAACTATCTGCAGAGAGCTAGAGGCATGTACTTTCAACTGATTCTGAGCAGAGAAAAACAATTTTCCCCTTTTTTACAGAGGAATAAGTAATTTTGGCATCATTTTCATCCCTCTCCTAGGAATCCATCACAACCAAAAAGAAGTTAATTTTTGAAGAATTGGGCTTTCTTTCTTCTCACAGTATTTGAGGTTTGAATCTCGCCTTGATCTCATGGGATGGGAGGATAGAATTAATGCTTGGGGAAAATAAGTTGCTTATTGTTGTTTGTTTCAATTTTACTCTTTTTATTTCCTTGAGATTTTGTATTGCAGTAAGGAAGAAAATGAGTTCCAGAAGTGCCTGGACAATACTTTCAGGCACATGGTGTGACTCTTGGGGATAGTCCTGTGCAAGGCTAGGAGTGGGACTCAATGATCCTTGTGGGTCTCTTCCAACTTAAGTATGTTCTGTGATTCTGTGAAATACTGGGGGAAGAAGGAATGTGACAAACACCACAGTTTTAGTGCTTGCCACAGTATGGCAGACACCTGCTGTCTTTCAGAGGGGAAATAAGCTTTGAGCCACTTCTTTCAGAGCTCCCAGGAAGGAGGCTGAAGGCTTTGGCTCTGATCTCACCTGGTGTTTTGGCACCAAGGCACCAGTCTCACTCTGGAAGACATCAACAAAATCACAGTGACAACTGTGACAGCCTTGGCAGTTTGCCTGTGTGAACTTAGTATCTTACACCCTTGGCATGTGGTTGTTCCAAACACTACATTAGTCTGCCATTACCTCTTCTAATTTGAGGTCGGTGAAGAAACAATAACTGAAAATGTAGTGCTCTAGTTTAAAGCACCCTTGTAGTTCTTGAAAGCCAAGAGACTGTATATTAAATATATTACAAATTTGCAGCCACATTACACTCCCTTTTAAGGGAGGAAATTGTCAGAATCAAGGACTTTA